TAAATTATAAAAAAAGAAAAAATGGGGTTTGAGGCCAGGTGGTAGCTTACACCTGTAATCCTAGCTACTCAGGAGGCTGAGATCTAAGGATCACGGTTCAAAGCCAGCCTGGGCAGGAAAGTCTGTGAAACTCTTTTTTTTTTTTCTGCCAGTCATGGGGCCTGAACTCCTGGCTTAGGTGCTGACCCTCAGTTCTTCAGCTTAAGGCTAGCACTCTACCACTTGAGCCACAGAACCACTTCTGGCCTTTTCTGCTTATGTGGTCCTGAAGAATCGATCCCAGGGCCTCATGCATGCAAGGCAAGCACTCTACCACTGACCCACCTTCCCAGCCCTCTGTGAGACTCTTATCTCCAATAAACCAGCAGAAAACTGGAAGTGCCACTGTGGCTCAAGTGAGTAGTGCTAGCCTTGAGCTGAAGAGCTGAGTGACAGCGCCCAGGCCCAGAGTTCAAGCCCCATGATCAACATTAAAAATTTTTAAATGGGGTATGAAGGTGTAAAGGGCTGGGACGGTGGCTCAGTGGTAGAGGGTCTGCCTTGCATGCATGAGGCCCTGGGTTTGATTCCTAAGTACCACATAAGCAGAAAAAGCTGGAAGTGCTACTATGGCTCAAGTGCTAGACCACTAGCCTTGAGCTGAAGAGCTGAGGGACAGCACCCAGGCCCAGAGTTCAGCCCAACGACCAACAACAACAACAACAAAACAGTAAAGCCTCACTAAAATGGTGAGCAAAGACCTAAGGAAAGAAAACGAGTTATATCATACTCTTGAGAAAGAAAAGGCTGGGGCAAAGTATTAGGCAAGTCTGAGGCCTGTTAAGGAGGCCAGTATAACAGGAATAGAGTAAGAAAAGAAGATAATAGGAAATGGATGAGATCAAAGAAGGAACCAGGAGTAAGGGAAGCAGATGTGCCTTTCACACCTTGTACTAACTTGCACTCTGAAAGAAATGGGAAACTACTTCAGGATTTTAAGATGTGACATGATCTGATTTGTTTTTGGCTGCTGTGCTAAAACAGAACATAGATGAGTATTCATCAGCTAGTCTCATGATGTCATCAAAACTTAGTGGTTCCCAGGACACCTGTAAACCTAGCTGATGCTGAGGCTGAGATCTGGGGTTACAGTTCACAGCCAGTCTGGGCAGGAAAGTCCTTGAAATTCTAATCTCCAAGTAACAACCAAAAAGCCAGAAGTGGAGCTATGTTCAAATGATAGAGCACTAACCTTGAGCAAAAAAAGCTCAGGGACAGCACCTAGACTCTTAGTTCAAACCCCAGAATCAACACCAAAAATTTAAAAAGCAACCTAATGGTTCACAATAATAAGCTATTTTTCTCACACGTGTAGAGTACAGATAGGTATGGTTCAAATGACCTATGTTAAATAGGGAAAATTAGCTTCCTGCTGAGGTTTGGCTGAGCTTAGATCAGGCTGTAAATTCAGCTCAATCTGGCAAACTTAACCTTTCTAGGGCCCAAGCAGACAGTGTAGTAGCTATGTGGGCAGGTTCTTTAGCAGACATAAAAAAGGAAACTAGGGCTGGGAAGGTGGCTCAGTGGTAGAGTGCTTGCCTTGCATGCCTGAGGCCCTGGGTTCGATTCCTCAGCACCACATAAGCAAAAAGAAAAAAGCCGGAAGTGGTGCTGTGGCTCAAGTGATAGAGCACTAGCCTTGAGCTGAAGAGCTGAGTGCCCAGGCCCAGAGTTCAGGCCCCACGACTGGACCAAAAAAAAAAGGAAATTAAACCCTACAAGCATGTTTAAGCTTTTGTTTGTCTCACACCTGCTCACATTATAGTGGCCAAATTAAGTAACACAATCTAAGCCCAAAATCAGTGATGAAGGAAGTACACACTACCCACTAACAAAGAATAAGAATGAACACTTGCCTAGCTACTCAGGAGGCTGAGATCTGAGGATCGCGGTTCAAAGCCAGCCCGGGCAGGAGAGACCGTGAGACTCCTATCTCCAATAAACCACCAGAAAACCGGAAGTGGCGCTGTAGCTCAAGTGGTAGAGCGCTTGCCTTGAGCTGAAGAGCTGAGGGACAGCGCCCAGGCCCAGAGTTCAAGCCCCACGACCGACAAAAAAAAAAAAAAAGAATGAACACTTGCTAAACAAATTCACTTTTTTTTTCAGCTCAGATCCTTGCACTTGCTACGCAACTGCTCTACCACTTGAGCCATGCCCCCCAACCCTTGCTGAACAAATTCAAACTATCACAGGGACAAAAGTTTCCCAACTATTTCAATAATACAGGTGAGACAAACATCACAAGCCTGGATACCATAAAGATACTTGCACATCCATGTTCATTACTGCACTATTCACAATAGCCATGTTATGGAAAAGCCTGGATGCCCTGCAATAGATGAGTGAATCCCAAAAATGTAATAGCTATACACAATGGAATTTTACACAGCCATTAGAAAGAATATTATTTTTTGCACAGAATTAGACCTAGAACAAACCATGTTAAGTGAGAAAGCCAAGCACAAATAGACAAATAGTGCATGTTTTCTCTCATATGTGGAAGCTAGATCTAAAATACATGAAAAATTTATAAAGGACTCTAGGCATTCACACACATTAAAGCAAAGGAAGATACTCCTAGGGAAGGAAAATAAAGGTGCGATGCCTATGTACCTCTGATCATATAAAATAATTTTTATCAACATGAACTCCAGGAAATGGAAACAAGAGATTATTTTTCTCTGTTGTTTTTTGTTTTCTTCTTTTTGTCTTGTTCATTCTTTTTCTGTCTTTGGGGGTAGAGGAGGTACAAAAATGAAGAGACAGGGTGAATAAATGCAGTGGTATTCAGCAGAAACTATACTGAAAATGAACTATATGCTGGGTGGTGGTGGCTCTTATCTGTAATCCAACTACTAAGGAGGCTGAGATCTAAGGATCCTAGTTTAAAGCCAGCCCAGGCAGAAAAGTCTGTGAGATTCTTATTTCCAAAAAATGACCAGAAAATCAGAAATGGTGCTTTGTTTCAAAGTAGTGGAACACTAGGCTTGAGCAGAAAACTCAGGGATAGCACCTAAGCCCTGAGTTCAACCCCCATGACTCACAAAAAAAAAACAAAACTGTACAGCTTGTGGGTGGGGACAGGAAGAAAAAACTGGAAGAGAATGAAGAACGGGGTGACACTCTCCAAAATGTACTCCCTACTTGACTTACAAAACAGTAACTCCTCTGTATATCCTTTATAATAACAATAAAAATAAATAAGTAAATAACAAGAACCTCTGGTTTCCTAAACTAGCACTTTACTTATCATTTGGAATGTTTAAGGTAAAAATATCAATCTAAGGCTTAGAAACTAACCAAATCTTATCTAGATACTTTAGACATAATTCCTTAAAAAAAAATCTTTGCATTGTTAACAAGAAATTTTGGAACTTTGTTAACTCAATCAAGTGGGTTATAAGAAAAAGAAAGGATGCTAAACCTTCTTTCTAAAGATTTTGAAAAAGGTTGTAGAAATAGCCAAACAGTATTTCTTGACACAATTTCAAATAGGTGCTATCAAAAACAATGTAAGCACATACATATATTTTCAGCAACTAATATGAATGGGTAAAATCATACTTTTAGTACAAAACAGAAAGAATAAACCATATGTTTTACTATAATAAAACTAAAACTAAAACCTAAAAGCCCTTAAACAGAGAACATACCTAACAAAATGAACTTGTCTTACTATCCAAAACTGACAATTTTTGAATTAACATCACCATTCATCATCTATGTTACAAAGAATAAAATCAAGTTTCAAAACATCTTTAAAAGTGCAAATGATGGGGCTGGGAAGGTGGCTCAGTGGTAGAGCGCTTGCCTTGCATGCATGAGGCCCTGGGTTCCATTCCTCAGCACCACATACACTGAAAAAGCTGGAAGTGGGTGCTATGGCTCAAGTGGTGGCGCTAGCCTTGAGCTAAAGAGCTCAGAACAGTGCCTAGGCCCAGAATTCAAGCTCCACGACCAGCAAAAAAAAAAAAAAAAAGTGCAAATGATTAAAAATAATTAATGCTTTTCTCATACAGTACCTAACTGTATTGTAGCAATCCCTCAAACTTAAGAAACAGAATGTGTTTATTTGCTTTGGCTTTTTGGGACTGAGACTCCTTATATAGCCAGACTGGCCTTGAACTTTCTATGCAGCCAAGTCTGGCCTCCAACTAGAGATTCTCCTGCCTCTGTCTTTATTTTTATTTTTTTTTGGGGGGGAGAAGGGGTGGGCATTACTGGAGTTTGTTAGGTAGGCACTCTACCACCTGAACCATACCCCAGCTCTCTGCCTGAGTCTCTTAAGTACTGGGATTATTTACCACCACTGCTGGCAGAAAAACATCTTAGTAGGTAGCATAAACTAAGTGCTGAATTAGCATATATCATCTTTTATTTGTCCTGGTAAGTCCAGTTCTAATTGCTGCTGAACTACATTTACAAAAAGGTATGCAGAAGCCAAGTGCCAGGGGATCACGTTTATAACCCTTGCTACTCCGGGTAAGATCTGAGAATCATGGTTCAAAGCCAGTCCAGGCAGTAAAGTCCATGAGACCACAATGCCAGATGAAAGCTGGGGCTCAAGTGGTAGAGGAGTAGCCTAGAGCAAAAAAGCTCAGGAACAGCGCTCAAGCCACAAGTTCAAGCCCCAGGACTGGCAGAGAAAAAAGAAAAAATGACATATGCAGACTTAAAGAGCAGGTTTTCTTGGCACATGCCTGCAATCCCAGTTGCCTAGGAGGGCAGGAGGAAGGCAAGTTCAAAGCCAGCCTGGATCATTCATGAAGACCTTGTCTCAAAACAAACTAAAAGGGAAGAGAATATTAACTCTAGTAAAGTTCTTACCCTGAATACAAGAGGCCCTGAAACCATCTCTAGGACTGCAATGAATGAATGAATGAAGTTTTTGAGGTTTTGATGACACAAGGGAAAGGATAAAGATATTCATAGGATTTCCATGTCAAATAATCTCTTCTATCTCTTCATTGTGTGAATTCAAGATACAAGTAAATCTGAAATTTAAATCTCAGTAATGTACTTACACATTTCGGCATGATATAGGCTTGTAAAAACCAATTTCATTTCCAGTAAAATGTGTTTCGTTGCCACTGAAATCCTTACAAGTTATGTTGGGTGCTGGAAAACACTGGACTAAAGGCAGAAAAAAAAATTCATTGTTTTTCTAAGATTGGTGAAAGCACACAAGAACATGCATAACAGAATAATCCCAACATATCTGACATAAGGCTTTAATTTAGATAGGAAAAACTATATTACATATGCATTTATAAGTAATAGGTACAATATGATATACCATATGATATGTATTTTATTTTAGGACCCCAAGCCCTGCTATGTAGCTCAGGCTGTTACAAGTGTGTAACATAAAGCCCAGATAGATGTCTTTTAACACATTCTGCTTTAGATACATGCCTCTGGAAAGGATGACCAAGGACAAATCATAAAGTATTACCTTCTTGTACTTCATCTGGAGGGTAAAGAACACTTGAACTGTTCATGTGTGCTAGGCAAAAGCTCTACCACTAAACAACAGTCCTTGTTTTTTTCAGATATATCTCATGATGTGGCCCAGGCTGACCTGAAACTTTTGATTCTCCTGACTTTACCTTTTCCAAGAATGAACACTAATTTTTACTGGTATTTAGTCTACTAAGTTATTCTAACATAATTTCAGTTGGTATTTCTAGTTTAACTATTTCAGATAAATTAAGATTCTTATTGTAAATGTGTTTCTTAACTCCTTCGAAGTTTTGATGTAGTATTTCAGCATTTACCAATTTTGATCTATATTCACAATCTACCTAATATAATGTGAGAAAGTAATACCTACAGAAATTACTGTATATGGAACAGACATGATCCTGAAGACTTTCTAGAATCATATTGTGAAGAATAAGAAGAATAAAATAAGAATGACCTATCTGACTACTTGGGAGGGAGAGATAGGAAGATTGCTTATCAGGCAAACCCAGGCCAAATCCAATCTTTTTTTTTTTTTGGTCAGTTGCAAAGCTTAAATTCAGGGCCTAGACACAGTCCCTGAACTTTTTTACTCAAGGCTAGAACTCTACCACTTTGAGCCACAGTGCCACTTCCAGTTTTCTAGTTGTTAAAGACTTTCCTGCCCAAACTGGTTTCAAACTGCAATCCTCAGATGTCAGCTTCCTGAATAGCTAGGATTATAAGTATGAGCCACTGACACCTAGCCAAATCCAATGTTAAAAACAATCCAGACATGATGGTATGTGCTGTAATCCCAGATATATAAGAGGAAACAATAGTATTTAGTTTCTTTTTTTTTAATTGTGAGAATACCCAATTAGAGGAGTTACAATTACATGGGCAAGATAACGAGTACATTTCTTATCAAGCATTGTTGCCTCCTCTTTGTTTCCCCTTCCCATCCCTTCCCATACTCCCCCAGCTACCCACCACTTCTCCCCAACCAGTATTTAGTTTAAGCTGCCAACAAACCCCCGTCCTTCTTTTAGGTTAGACTGGTATACTTAAAAAATAAAAATAAAATTGATACCAGGACACTTTTTTTTTGGGGGGGGGGGTCCGGTTGTGGGGCCTGAACTCTGGGCCTGGGCGCTGTCCCTCAGCTCTTCAGCTCAAGGCTAGCGCTCTACCCCTTGAGCCACAGCATCACTTCTGGCTTTTTTCTTTTTGCTTATGTGGTGCTGAGGAATCGAACCCAGGGCCTCATGCAAGCAAGACAAGCACTCTACCACTGAGCCACCTTCCCAGCCCCGCCAGGGCACATTTTGTCTGGAAGCTAGATCTAAAATATATCGGGCATTATAAATTATACAGGACTGTAAGCATTCACACACAGTGAGACTAAAGAAGGATACACAGGCGAGAAACCCAAATGCCCCTGAACTATTTATCTAAATGAATTATCATCGAAAATACTATTAATCGAAATGAATTCCAAGAAATGAAAACATAGATTTTTTTTTGTTGGTGGTGGTGGCAAGTTTTTTTGTTTGTTTCTTTTCCATCTTTTGAAAAGTGGCAAGGAGGCCACAGAAATGGAGGGAAGCAGAGTTAACAAATGCAGTCATGGTACTCAGCAGACACTGAGAAAAATGAACTATACAACTTGTGGGCAGGGATGGGAAGGGTAAACTGAAGGAAAGCAAAGGAAGCGGTGTATACTCATGCCAGGCACCAGTGGTTCATGCCTAGCTACTCAGGAGGCTGAGATCTGAGGAGTGAGATTCAAAGCCAACCCAGGCAAGAAAGTCCAAGAGATTCTTATCTCCAATAACCTACTCAGAAAAAGCTGGAAGTAGACTGTGGCTTAAGTGGTAAACCACTAGCCTTGAGCATGGAGAGGCCCAGGGACAGAGCCCAGGCCCTGATTTCAAGCCCCAGGACCAAGGGGAAAAAAAAGTACTCATTAACTGACTTATGAACCAGTAACCCCTTTATACAGCAGCTTAATACTAATAATAAAATAATAATTTTTATGGAGCAATGGCACTTACTAGAAACACTGTTGAAAATGAACTATACAACTTGTGGATAGGGATGAGAGGAAAAACTGGAAGAGAACAAGGGGTAACATTGTCCAAAAAGAAATGTGCTCTTTGCCTGATTTATGTAACTATAACCCCTTTATACATCACCTTTATAATAACAGATTTTAAATTTTTAATCATATTTTTTTTTTTTTGGTCAGTCGTGGGGCTTGAACTCTGGGCCTGGGCGCTGTCCCTCAGCTCTTCAGCTCAAGGCGAGCACTCTACCACTTGAGCTACAGTGCCACTTCCGGTTTTCTGGTGGTTTATTGGAGATAGGAGTCTCACGGTCTCTCCTGCCCGGGCTGGCTTTGAACCGCGATCCTCAGATCTCAGCCTCTTGAGTAGCTAGGATTACAGGCGTGAGCCACCTCGCTCAGCTAAATTTTTAATCATATTTTTAAAATTCAAATACTATGAAAAAAATGCAGGACAGAAAAAAAACCTACCTATGCTGACTTCTGTCCTGTTTATTGGAATCTTGATAGGATAAACTATTTCACTCCATAAATGTTAATAGGTTTTTGAGTGCATGTGCCAGTACTGAGGCTTAAAATCAGGGGCTTGCATTCTCCCTTGGCTTTTTCACTCATTTATTACTTTGTGAGGCCATTCATTTATTAATACATTTATTAATAGTTCCCAAATATAGACAAATGTACTTACATTTTACATGCTTTAATCTCCTCAAATGAAAGCTTTATAGGAAGACTTTCTTCTCTTTCCCTGTGCTTGTGTTTATTTCATCTATGAATACTTAAAGCCTGCAATAGATCACCGCAATCCATCCTTTATACTTCCTGGCAATCTCATCATGTGGTTGTTTTCACATACAGTAAGACCCCTAGCTTCATTAACTTAGTACACAGAGCTTTATTGAAATTTTTTAATCAAAAGAAATTTCAAAAACAAAAATTTTAATTCCCAGAGGTGCATTTAGCAACTCAGTTGTTGTGCCACTCGGTCAATGTGTCATTAGTTGTGTTTCAATCATTGTGTCATCTGTTATTTCTCTGACCTTAAATCTGTGAAAATATGCCTTCCAAAAGCAAATGGTACCCAACACTCCAACCCTCAAGGCGAAAGCTTGTGAAAGTGAGTATTTTAGATTTGCTGAAAGGCTGAATATCATTAGCAGAAATTGGGCAGTGTTTTGGGGAAAATGAATGAAGCATGAAGAGCACTGAATTCTGCATCTTAAGCATTTACGGGTTTCCCTCAACAGCACTTTCCTTGAAACCATATACACATGGATACCAAGGATCACCTTAATATCAATAACTGTTAAGAGAATTCTGCTGGGCAGCAGTGACACATGCCTGTAGTCCTGCCTACTCAGGAGGCTGAGATATGAGGATTGCAATTCAAAGCCAGCCTAGGCAAAGAAGTCTATGACACACTTATCTTCAATTAACCAACAAAAAGCCTCAAATGGAGCTGTGGCTCAAAGGGTAGAGTGCTAGCTATAAGCACAAAAGCACAGGGGCAGGGGCTGGGAAGGTGACTCAGTGGTAGAGCTCTTGCCTTTCATGCCTGAGGCCCAGGGTTCGATTCCTCAGCACCACATAAGCACAAAGAAAAAAGCCGGAAGTGGTGCTGTGGCTCAAGTTGTAGAGCGCTAGCCTTGAGCTGAAGAGCTGAGGGACAGCACCCAGGCCCCGAGTTGAGGCCCCACGACCGGGCCCCCCAAAAAAAAATAATTCTGGAGATCCAAAGCAAATAATAAAATATAAAACTTTGTAGTTTATGTAATTAAATTATTGTTCTTTGTTAAATACTGGGGAAGGGGTATAGTTCCATAATAGAGCATTCATTCGGGTCCTGGGTTCCAGTGCTCAGAACTAAAATTATTAAAGAATGACAATCCCTAGCCAGTTCTCCAAATCTGAATTGCTCTGAAAACTTAACAGTGATGTTAAACTTTAAAAACACATTGATTACTCTTAATGGTCATACACTGACCATATGAAATAGTTTCAAAATATTTAAATTATTAAGCTGGGTAACAGTACCTCATATCTTTAATCCTAGCTACTCAAGGGGCTAAGATCTGAAAATCAAGGTTCAAACCCCACAACTGAACCCTAGCAACAAATATATACATACATATATATGTATGTATACATATAAATACATAGGCATATATGTGTATTTTTCTTTTCAGGTGTGGGCAATGTCCCTAAGTTATTTTTTGTTTTGGTTTGTTTTGGTTTTTTGCTTAAGGCTAGGGGTCTACCACTTTGAACCACAGATCCACTTCCAGTTTCCTGGTGGTTAATAGGAAATGAGTCTCACAGACTTTGCTGCCCAGGGCTGGCTTTGAACCATGATCAGCAGGTCTCAGCTTCCTCAGCAGATAGGATTAAGGAGCAAGCCACCAGCACCTGGTTGTATGTATATTCTTTTTTGTTGGTTTGTTTTAATTTTTTATGTGGTACTAAGTAATCAAACCCAGGGCCTCTACCACGAAGCCACAATCCTAGCCCTTGTGTGTATATTCTTAAAGATATAATTCTGCAATGGAAGGGGTGACATTTATCACAATGTATTGCTTGCATAAATTGACATTTTGAATTGAAACTTCTTTGCATAACTACTTAAGGACAATGTTTTAAAATACTGAGCTGTGGATCAAATGGTATAGCACTACCCTTGAGCTAAGCGACAATGAGCAAAAAGGACAGTGTCCAGGCCTTGAGCTCAAGCCTCAGCAGCATCCCAAACAAATAAAAAATGAGGGCTGGGAAGTTGGCTCAGTGGTAGAGTGCTTGCCTCGCATGCATGAAGCCCTGGGGTCGATTCCACACCACCACATAAGCAGAAAAAAGCCGGAAGTAGTGTTATGGCTTAAGTGGTAGAGTGCTAGTCTTGAGCTGAAGAGTCTGAGGGACAGCACCCAGGCCCAGAGTTCAGTCCCAGGACCGACCAAAAACACACACACACACACACAAAATTAAAAATGAAAATAAAATTAAGAAAAAGAAATTATCCTGGAAGTCTTACCATGAGCTGTGTAGTTTGTACAGTTAACTGGTTCTTGTGTAGCATCATTTATTTGAGGATCTTTACAAATATATGTTTAAAAAATTAAGGAAACAGGAACTTTATTTCCAACATAGAACATGATCTTGCATATCTTATATATTCCCGGTGATAGTCATATGGAATGAGAGGTTCTAGTTTGTCCAACAATCACAAGAACATTTTTAATGCTGTTAAACAATACCTGAATATTACTTTTAATACGGTGAAGTGGAACAGTGACTCGCTCCAACCTTTAGCAAGAAAGAACAGAGCCCAGGCTCTGAGTTCAAGCCTCAGTACTAGCACAAAAACAAATAGGACTATAAAGAAATACATGATCACATTATGTTTCTACTTATAAACCTATGTACAGAGCATGTTACCTTTAGTTTCTGTTATTAGTTTTTCTGTTCCAGTTTGTATAAAAGTTGTCTAATTTTGTACATAGGTAGCCACTTTCAATATCGTTCCATTTCATCTGTGTTTTATCATATACTGTGCTATGATGTAAGACAATTTACCTAATCCTAATTCAGCTTCAGTTCCGTTTTAAAAACGGTTAATGCATACAGCCCTATTATGCCACTCACAGTTCCTTACCTGTGCTAATTTAAATATTGCAAGCGCTGGCCAATGCCAGCAACTTTCACGCATACAGCGTAGCGTTTTAAGTCGTTTTAAACACAGGTTACACCGTGGAGCCGGAATCTGCCAGATCCGCGTCTCACAGGTGCTAGTAATGACAATGCATCAAGGCAGACTGGCTCGTGAGCAGTTAACCTATTCCGTTCCCCTCCACTTCGGCCAGCCTCCAGGTGGAGTCTCCAGGTTTGTGTTCCCAGGGTCTGGGGCAGGGCCTGGCATCCGCTGTGGGACAAGTAAGAACCCCGGGAGATCGGGGGTGAATGCGGAAACACCGACCAGCCAAGCCCCACGCAAGGCACGCTCGGTGGCCGCGGCCGCCCGCCCCCCCGCCCCCCGCCTCATCTCCGGGCTCCCCGGCCGCGGGAGACCCCGGCCCCGGCCCCTTCCGCCCGGCCCCGGCCCGCGCCGGGGGACACGACACAGAGGATATTGTCCCACTTTGAGGTCCTCGCACTTAAATGTCTCCTCGTCCGCCGCGGCGGCAGCCGCCCAAGGTCTCGTGGTGACGGTCACGAGCCACAGGAGCCCCAGCAGGCGGGCGGCCACGGCCTCCGCAGAAGCGGGCCCGGAGGCCCAGGCGGCCGCCATGTTGGGACCCGCCTTGTCCCACGCTTCCGGTTCCGCCTCCGCCCCTGTGAGGGCGGGGCCGAGGCGGAAGGGGGAGGAGGGGTTCTTAAAGGCACCGCGCTGACTCTGGATGTTGGTTTGGTCCACTCTCTAGTTTGTCCTCCCAGTGAACTGGCATAATCACTGGGGAGACTCTTGTAATGCAGATCCGGACCTCTCTGGAAAGTTTCCCTTCGAATAACTCGATGGAAGTCTCACTGGCCTTTGAGTATTCCAAGAAAGAAAAGATGTATCTGTAGATGGGCTGTACCCATCTGTGCCTCTGCCAACACCTGACCGCTGTCCTAACCCTAAATTACTAACCATGGCGTTTCCACATCCAAATGTAAGGGATGGAAGCACCAGGCACCTCCCAACCTCGTCTCCACAAGTCATGGGGCTTGGGTTGAAGGATGAAGAGCTGGCTTGGGAACACTGAAAGCACGTAGATCTTAGTTAATGCATTTACTTGAGTGACTGAGGTGCAACCAAACTGATGTTCATCAGATCTCAAAATCTGGGCTCTTGGTAATTACAATGTGGTCTCCCTATTTCCTAGAAAAAGAAAGATCTGGGAGGCCACTGATTGAATGTAGGGCCTCTGTACCATAACTTGACACTTAATAGGGAAAATTAAGTTGGTGAAATTTTAATGGCATAGGGGAGCAGTTTAACAAGAGGAGAACAGATCGCTTATAACTTTTTTCTCTCTCCTTTCTACATTTCCATGCATTCTAAAATAGTATAATAAGCATCTTTTAATGAAGAAAACATTTTTAAGTGAAAGTTAAATCATTCCGGCTGATACCTAAAAACACTGGAATTTGGTAGTGTCTTTTCACCCATAATAGTGCTAGCATTTTGAAGAATTAACTATGCACTGGTTCTCAAGACAGGTAGTATGAGAATCACCTTTGGACTGGAAGTGTGGCTCAAGTGATAAAGTTACAGCCTAGAACAAGAAAGCATAACAAGGCCCTGAGTTCAAGAGTATAGCCATTAAAACATAATGTTAGGCCAGGTATTATGTAATCTCAGCACTCAGGAAGTTGAAGCAGGAAGCCTGAGTTGAAGGTCAGCTTGGACTTCATAGTGAGAACCTATCTCAAGAAAAAGAAAAAGAAGGGCTGGGAAGATGGCTCAGTGGTAGAGTGCTTGCCTTGCATGCCTGAGGCCTTGGGTTCAATTCCTCAGCACCACATAAGCAAAAAGAAAAGAGCCAGAAGTAGCACCATGGCTCAAGTAACCTTGAGCTGAAGAGCTGAGGAACAGCTCCCAGGCCCAGACTGGGCTTTATCTTTATATCTAAGACAGTCCCAAGTGAAGTCCCTGGTCTAGAGACCACACTGTGAGAACATTATGTATGATGTATTAGGAGATATTCATTTTGGCATATGAACTGGAGACCATGAATTTAAAGTAAAATTTAAGTGTTGTTTGTTTAAAGTTGTTCTTAATAATTGCCTTTCAGTATTGCTGTCTTTAACTTCAAAAATAATATATATGGAATCTGTACTTTAAATCAAGCATCAATGGTAAGAAATTTGAAAATAACTATACTAATTCACTCTTAGACCTCCCATTTTCAGACCATTTCTTTCTCCTTTCCTCTCACCTCTTCCTATCTCCATTCATTCTTGACTCCCTCCTTTCCTACCACTTTTTCTCTTTCTTATTCTCCAAAAAAAATATTTATGAAGGATTTGCTATGTACCCAGCATTAGCTTGAAACCTAGGGACAAAATATGAAAAAAAATTTACTTCCTGAGAAGTAAAATTGGCCATGAGTGGCTTGCACCTGGAATCCTGGTTTTTCAGGAGGATGAGTTCTAAAGGATCTGGTTTAAAGCCATCTCAAGCAGAAAAGTTTGCAAAAAAACGTCTCCAAACAGCAAGCTAGATGTCAGTGACATATGCCTATAAATATCCTAGCTATTTGGGAGTCTGAGTTCTGAGAATCTTGACTAGGAGCCAGGCAAGGCAGACAAATCTGAGAAATTCTTTTCTCAATTTAGCCAGGAAAAAATGCCTGAAGTAGAGGTATAGTTCAAATGGCAGAACACCTGCTATGAGGGGAAAAAAAGCCAAGTGAAAGCTTTGAGGCTCTGAGTTCAAGACCTGGGAGGGGGGCGGAAATTAAACCAGATCCAAGGACAGTTAAAATCATATTTGTCAAGTATTGTAGTAGAAATACCTACTAGTTAAGGTAGTGGACAGTTTTGGGGGGTTCTTTTGCAGCAGGGATGGAGGGGTGGCTATTCTTTGAAAGTACCAGGGGCTTCATCATGGTGGACTAGGATTTATGGCTGCTGTCCAAATAGTAGATAAGGGTCCTGCAGCTGCCCAGACATGAAGGTCACTCTAAGGGGCTCTTGTTGCCTTATATGGTGGAAGCTGCCCCAGAGCAGTGCCATCCCAAGGTAAAGGGGGCTGGAGGGCTGATTATTTACTGCCTTTACTACCTGGGCCCAGTGTTGCCTAGGAAGGGAGCATGCTAAGCTGTGGAAAAGGGAAGGAGCGGACTGAGCTATAGGAAGGAGCTCACTTCGCTAACAGCACCATCCAAGAAAACCACTTGGACACACAGTCCACACACACACACACACATACAGAGAAAGGAGTTTATTGTTAGCAGAGGAGCAGAGAAGGCTAGTTCTCTCATTGGAGGGAGAGAAAAAAGTGCTTGTCTTTGTCTAGGGAGGTTCTTATAATCTAGAGGGATTAAGGGCAGGATTTCATGCAGGACTTGAAGAGCAGAGGATTCCATTATGGTGGACTAAGATTTATGGCAGTTGCAGGAATAATAGATAAGGGGGCTGCTGTTATCATTTGTGGCTGTGACTGGCCAAATGGAATGTTACTTCAAGGGGAGAGGGAGGAAGCTGGTCATCAGCTGCCTGCACCAAAAGGACCATTTATTGGCCAATGTGGGGAAAGGAGCATGCCAGGCTAATATTCTCCATCTTAAGAAATGGTTTTGCTATATTGTCTAATTTGGCCTCAAATTCCTGGGCTTAAATGATCCTCCTGCCTCAGCCTCTTCAATAGCTGAGAATATGTCTTCTCAGGAAAGGCCTTGCCAAAGTTCTGTATATGTTATTTCACTGAACTACACACCCAGTCCGAACAGCCCTGAGACATGAAGTTTTAGTAGGTAGGACCCTCAAAACACTACTCAAAAACCACACATTGTCACAAGCATCATTCTAATTTTAGTATATGTGTTTCTGAAGCAAGCATAGTCATTACTATCAAAGTTAAGGCCAAAATGAATCATATTTATCTTCATAGGATAACTTACAAGGGTTAGTTCATGACCACTTAAAGATATACAACCTAGAAAACAATTAATCTTAATTTAAAAAAAAAAGCCAGCACTAGTGGCTCACACTTGTAATCCTAGCTACTCAACAGGCTGAGATCTGAGGATCTCAGGCAAGGAAAGTCCATGATAGACTCAGATCTCCAATTAATCATAGAAAAAGCAGGAAGTAGCACTGTGGCTCAAGTGCTAGCCATGAGCAAAAAGATCTTAGGGTCAGCACCTGGGCCCAGAGTTCAAGCTCCAGGATGAGGCAACGGGGAGGGGAGAACAGGGGTCAGGGGGCTTGAACTCTGGGCCTGGGCACTGTCCATGAGCTCTTCAGCTCAAGGTTAGTGCTCTGCCATTTGAGCCACAGCACCACTCCCGGTTTTCTGGTGATTATTGGAAATAAGAGTTTCATGGACTTTCTTGCCTGGGTTGGCTTTGAACCATGATCAGATCTCAGCCTCTGGGTAGTAAGGATTACAGGTGTAAGCCACCGAAGCCCAGCTATTTTATGCTCTTGTATTCATCCTCTAAATACATGGTTACTACATTGTTTAAGCTTAGTAAATACTTAAGTCTCCATTTTTTCAATGCAAAATTATTTCATTGCATAAAATTCTATAGGAATTCTAAGGTTTTCTATGGAAAGCAAAAGGTGTGAGTACCATTGCCTCAGGTAGAAACTGTACAGAAATGTTAGCAAAGAGGATTGCCAGAGAAATCTGAAGTCAAGGCTCAATTCATTGGAATTTTTCTAAGATTTTAGACACACCTAATTACATGTACAGATTGTTCTGTCTGTAGCAAAGCTTTCCAAGGAAACCAACCAAACTCCTGTTTCCAAAGTTAGGATACAGACAGTAAGACATAAAAGATTGCTACTTTTGAAAAAAATTTAAAATATGTCAGGCAACTATTTTTCTCTGGTTATAAATTCATTATATCAGAAACCTGAACCAGGCACTGGTGGCTCACATTTTGTAATACTAGCTACTTAGGAGGTGGAGCTCCCTGGCTCCCTTGATTAAAGCCCTGGCAGGATAGGGCTAGGAAGGTAGCTCAGTGGTAGAGTGCTTACCTTACATGCATAAGGCCGTGGATTTGATTCATCAGTACCACATAAACAAAGAAAGCCAGACACAGTGCTGTGGCTCAAGTGGTAGAACCTTGAGCTGAAGAGCTGAGGGACAGCACTCAGGCCCAGAGTTCAAGCCCCATGACCAACAAAAAGGAAAAAAAATCCCTGGTAGTCTAGGAGATTAACCAGCAAAAAGCTGAAGTGGAATGTGGCTCAAGTAGTAGAGTACCAGTCTTGAGTGGAAAAAAGCTAAGGGGCAGAGAGCCCAGACACTAAGTTCAAACCCCAGTACTAGTACACATGCACACACACACACACAGCATGAAATTAAAAACATTTTTAAAATTCCAAGGAAAAGTCAAAAGAAGCTCGCATAAACGAACATAACAAAAGATGGAGAGAGTGGGTTAAAAGTGATGCTGGTTGAAGCATGAGGGAGACATCTTCTTATAGAAGAGGGGAATCAGCCATGGAGGAAGAGTAGAGCCACCAGACATTCTAGGTAGGGAAAAGAGGAAAAGCAACCCATAGAATAACTGGATGTGGCCAGAGTATAATTCTGGGAGGTAGTATACAAAATAAGATTGGAATTCGTTATTTTACA